TTAATGTTTTTTCAGTTTCCATTTCTATTTCATTTCCATTTCTAAAAAAGACGTATTAAATCGATATTCAAAACTAACGAAATTTATTGTTGTCGTTTTTTCGCAATGCTAATTGATTCTCTCGCTGCGCTTACTTCGTTAAATGACTGTCATTGCATCTTTTGACAGTTGTGTGTCTTGAGGTTGATTGAATTAATAGTAAATTACAGTAAAAGCTAAAAAATGTCAAATAGTACGAGTATGTCTGTAATGCTAGTTTTTGTAGAAAACTGAACAATTTTTAGACGATAATTTGTACTCTTATATTATGATAAGCGCCATTTTGTTACAATTACGAATTTTTTAAATGGGCTGCTATAAAGATTAGATTTATCTATTATTATCTATTATTTATCTATATCTTTTTAAAATCTATTGCGTTTCTGTCTCTCCGATGAATTATGCAGATATACAGTAGGATACATACTGAAAACTATTACAGCAGCTAACACGCCTGATGCCAACGGCAATATTTCTTTTATTTTCCAATATTTTTAAACAATTATACATGTTATTAAAATATTAATAAAATATTAGTACAAATCCCGCTTTGATATTTTTAATACGTTCAGGGAAATAAAATCATTAATATAAACTATTTTTGTGTCTCTAGATGTATATAATCTCTTAGAACATTGTAAAAAATATTTTGCGAGAAATATCAGCCAGAGTTTAAATTTACATTCGTAATAATCGTCTTTTCAATTTGACTTTGAGGCTTGTAATGGTATCACAATAACTAATAAATAATTTAAAAAAATTATTTTTTTACGCAAAAATGTTATTAAGCACCAAAATTTATCTTGACTGAAGATTTATATTATTTATATTTAAAGCTTATCTTTATCGTTAGTTGTAAAATAGAAAAGAACATTAAAATTTATGAAAATGTTTTTGTTGTAATAATTACAAAAATTTCCACATTTTTAATACATTTATAACAGAAGAATAACGGTTTAAAGTCAACCACAACAGTATTTTACTTTAAATGTGCATTTTTCCGAATATTTTATTAATTTATTATACTATACTCTTTTAAAAGTTTTAATTTCAAAAATAATTTCTCTTAATAATAATGTTGTGATAATATCTTTTAAAAAAATTTTACATTTAAATAAGATACATTAAGGCAAAACATTTTAAAGATCACAAAAATCTCAAAAAGAAATAAATTTAAAAAAAATTATTATATTTAGCTTACCGGCAACTTTAATATTTTTTCAAGTCTTTCATTAATAGATAATCCTTTTTTCGGCCGCATCAACAGAAATATTTCACGAACATCAGGGCAAGATCGCAATACCTTTTCGATAAGCACTTTACCCAGAAATCCTGTCGCACCTGTCAAAAATATACTTTGTCCAGTGTAAAACGCAGGGATTGACTTGGCTGGATCAATGGTCATCTCAGGGGTCATCTTGTTCATTAGTCTTAAATCAAATCCAACATAAACAATAAAACAATGTGTTTTGATAACATAGATATTGAAACACTCGCGCGGAATGATTGTCACTTTTGCTATGTCGATAGAAAAATTTGTTTTAATCGAATAAATAATTTGAATGCTTATACCTATAAAGTTCAACTTTACAATGCAGAAATTAAATTGTTATCGTGTAATATCCGTTAGCTAATGAAATCTACATACATAATAACTAAGCTTTAACAAAGCGGAAATGATTATTCTACAGTTTAAAATTAAAAGAGTAAGGATATAATACATGCAAAAAATATATACATCTGCTTATAATACGACAAAAATAAAGACATAATATCATGAGGCACGGTAGCTAGTGGCTTAGTGTCAAGTGTATTTATGTATTTTACATTACATTATATTTGTACTGCGTTGTTACTTTATCAGAAGATAAAGATAAAAATTTCCCGTAGTTTTTAGTTTAATGAATTCGATTTCATTTATCTAATTGTTCTAACATCTCACAGTTTTGAGAAATTTGCGGTTAAAATTGCAAAAATGTTATTTTAATTATTAATTATATTATAATTAATAGAGATATATAATACATATATTAACACTATATATATAATATATAAATATATAACACTATACATCATATACAAGTGTCATAAAAAAATATGAAATTTAGAAAATGAGATTTAAGTAAGTATACTTGTATAGAGATATAGATTCGCGTATTGCGAATAAACTGTGTGGATTCACGGATTCGCCAGAGACAATTAAAATTAACCGAACGTTATGGAGGAAAAATGAACTAGAGATTCTTTAAAGAGTTAACTAAAAACGAGTTAATCGTATAAGAATTTATTCGAGACTGACTCGTGAGAATTTTTCTGCGATGTACATCGAAATGAGAAGTTGTCGGTGTAAGCGTGAGAAGGGAAAATTATGCCTCATGTTTATTTTAATTAGAGACAGTTTATTGGCAGCAGAAAAACAAAGCGGAAATGAATGTCAAGGAATGTCAAGGTTTCGGCAACCGACACGAAAATGACTCACGAAAAGACTCAAAAAGACTCGAATAAAACACATATTAAGTGTTGAACTAAATTGTAATAAGA